CTGCATATGGAGTATGTAACTATCTAGCACTGGAAATATTTATTGCATGTTGTTTCTTTGGATTCACGTTTTCGCACAAAGGGGAGTGGGGGGATCACGGGCACACCAGGACCTTCCCTAGCTACCCCCCCGGAATTTAAAAGAAGTAACCTCGGAAGATGTCTGTTCCTCAGCAAATTCAGAATGTGAAACGTTGTTTAGTCTAGTGGATAGTTCATAGCGTTGTCGTCGGTAAAGTGGTATTTGTGCTACTCTTGTTATGCATATGTTTGTTTGCGCAGTGGTTCGGCTGTAGCTCCACCGAAACAGCTGGGCTACCGCGCCTTCTGTTGTTCATTTTAGTCTTTTTTCTATCAATATTCTGTACAGAAGACGTCAATTACACAGATGTCTGAAAACGTACTCTCAAATTCGGTCAACAGTGGCGGGTTATGAAGCATTATCCGGGGGATTTAAGCCAATTAGAAATGGCGAATTGTTCAAAATGAATCTTAACAGGTTATATAGGATCATTTTACTTTATACTGTCACATTCCCCTACTAATCCAATGGTGGTTTTCCTCATTACTTAATTTACGCCAGAAATACTAGCATCTATAACCCTTTGCTTCCATTTGTTATTTATTTCTGAACCACTGATGGTTAGCCCAAGAGGCTAGAAACTGATCTCCATTTAAAGTTCCGATGTATTGAAGATGAAAACATCCTTACCTGTTGGATGACAGTTTGTCTTTCCGTCACCTGTGTACCCGTCGTTACAAGAACACTTAAACGAGCCATCACTGTTTGAGCATGACGCGAGGCTTTGAAGGCAATCATGTGATCCCTGTAAGCACTCATCAACATCTAAAAATGGTAGAGAAAAAAAAAATTATGAAACCTGTTTGTTTGTTTTAATTGCTTGTTTGCTTGTCTTGTCTTGGTGCACCGTATTATGGTGAGCCAATGGATGGCAAGTTTATAAATGGAGCGAGAGAGAGAGAGAAAGAAAGAAGGACCAATCGGTTCTATTGAAACGGGTTCGATAATGTAAGGCCCCGTTGATATGGCGAAACAACCCTCCCCGGGAGTAGAAGGGTACTCCTCCTAGCTGAGTCAAACTTAGCATGCGTTTATATGAGACTGAAAAATTAAACCCCTTTGCCCGAGCAAACAGAGCTTATACAAGTTCAGATTGTCTAAAACAGCGCTTGCGCATGCTCTGATTGTCTTGCTCTAACCGAGTTGACCCGGCTGGTCGAGCCAAAGTGTTTATGTGAACAAACGTTTACCAGGCTAGGTGGGCCACCTTTCTAGCCAACTTTCTGTTTCTCATCTGCGGCATGAAAACGGTTCGCCAGGTTTTGTAAAGAAATGTTTGAAAAGTTGGCTCACCCCGGGTAGCTCGGGTAGGTGGGTGACCCTTCTACAACTTTTTTCCGAATAAAAGTGCCGGGGCCTAAGTGACTCAGTACCTAGTGTGACTACTTAATTCCTAATATTCTCTAATTACTTATTTCCCAAAATGTGGATCATAAAGAAAATAAGAATATAATGCACTGCCGACGTCTTACCTGTCTCGCAGCGTTCTCCAGTATAACCAGGGGGACACAAACATCGATATCCCTTAACGGTAAATCCAGATTGACAGGTTCCGCCATTATGGCAATAGATCTCATCACAGGCACTCTTAACAAAAAGTGTTTTAATGAGGTAAATATCACGGAACAAATGCATGCTTACGTAAAATTGGCTTGAAAATTACATTAAAGAAATGCAAAGAACTCACAGTTTCAAGCCAAGAAGAAGCTAGAAGAAGAAGAAGACAAAGAAGAACAAGAAGAACAAGAACAAGAACAAGAAGAAGAAGAAGAAGAAGAAAAATTAAAACAAAAACTTACATCTGCTCCATGATAGAGATAACCATTTTCCTCTATGAAATTCTCATCGTACTTGAGATGAGTCGCGTTGTTTAACTCACATGTTTCTGTGTCTACTTGATAGTTAACACTCACGCAGTTCTTTTCAAAGTAACAATGCATCTCGCAGTCTTCAAAATCAACTCCAATTTTATATCCTATTGTGTGGTTCACCAAACGTTTGTTGTTGAAGAGCAAAGGTCCTTGAAAGACCAATACGCGACAGTAATCTGAAACAAGAACAGATGCAATGGTTGCATCTGGACGGAAGGTGCATTCTTTGCTGAATTCTTACCGTACCTATGACTGGACGAAAAAATGGATTTGCACAAATTTGCTCCTTGCAAATATGTCACAAATATGTAAATACTGAGTCGTAAATATATGGCAAGGATGGTAAAAGCTACATGTTCATACCATAAAACAGCTAGCGTGTGTAAATAGCTATCTAGCCAAATGTGGTCTTTAACATGTTTGCCAAATGTTTACTCCTTAGTATTTATATATTTGGACATTTGCAAGGAGCAAGTTTGCGAAAATCCATTTTTTTCTTCACAAAAAGCAACAACAATAAGCGGATTCCAAAACGCACAAAATGTGTCTTCTTCAAACTTTTTTGGGCCGATTATTTAAACAAAATCCAACTTAGACCGCGGTTTAGGAAATCTTTGAACCTCCACTCTCTTTCTTAGTGGGTTATTTTAAGAAGAAAAACTTACAGCTTTCTAGCCTACGCCATATGCTTTTATGAAACTGTTTACGATAAATGGTGTCTACATAAGGCGTTCGGCAAACTGAAAACGGCTTAGAACGCGGTTTTATTAAACACTGGCTAAACTCCGTTTAAATAACTGGCCCTATGTCTTCAGTGATATCGTGTGGCTGATGTCTACCGTACCGATCTAGCTAATAGATTCGCTCTCTAAAATAAACACCTCTTGTCTTATAAACGCCCCCTCCACACTTTTCATAGACCCTCTGACTCTCTAATAAAGGGCTGCTATGTCAATTGCCCCAGAATGATAGGAAATAGAACGTAGCAAAGATTTTGATTTATTCANCATTTTTTTCTTCACAAAAAGCAACAACAATAAGCGGATTCCAAAACGCACAAAGTGTGTCTTCTTCAAACTTTTTTGGGCCGATTATTTAAACAAAATCCAACTTAGACCGCGGTTTAGGAAATCTTTGAACCTCCACTCTCTTTCTTAGTGGGTTATTTTAAGAAGAAAAACTTACAGCTTTCTAGCCTACGCCATATGCTTTTATGAAACTGTTTACGATAAATGGTGTCTACATAAGGCGTTCGGCAAACTGAAAACGGCTTAGAACGCGGTTTTATTAAACACTGGCTAAACTCCGTTTAAATAACTGGCCCTATGTCTTCAGTGATATCGTGTGGCTGATGTCTACCGTACCGATCTAGCTAATAGATTCGCTCTCTAAAATAAACACCTCTTGTCTTATAAACGCCCCCTCCACACTTTTCATAGACCCTCTGACTCTCTAATAAAGGGCTGCTATGTCAATTGCCCCAGAATGATAGGAAATAGAACGTAGCAAAGATTTTGATTTATTCAGTTTCTTGCTTAGTAATAAAAAGAGTTTTCTCATTGCATCTTGTTCAATATCAAGTTCAAAGTAAAGATTCTGACATTGAAGCTTGAACTTTTAAAAATGACATGGAGCATGAAACGACCAAGACGTATCAAATGTAAAGACGGGATAATCTGCTGTTTATAAACTGAGTTGATATATTTACCATAAGCATACGCCTCCCGTCTATTAATTAAACAACCCTAATTGGACTCCTTGAATATATATATAAAACAACCCGGCCGGGCATCTATTAGATCACAGGCAGCCCAAGCGTACTATGTGTGTATTCGGGATTCAGAGGTCAACTGATCGGAATATACTAGTATGATAAGTGTATTATCTGATGCCAAATAAATGCAAAAATCTTAAAGATATGAAGTCTTCTTGTTTGTCTACCTGTACTAGTAGCCCTTACGATAACGAAAGTCGATATTTCTTGCATTACTTCATGTGATTCGGGCCCTTATGCATTAGAATCTTCAACGCTAACAAAAAAAATCATGATCCTGCGTCATATTGTTGATTCAAAAAGCTCCCTTACTTTTAGTTCATAGCCATTCTGTGTCATCTGGCCGGTTTAAACACCGTTTAGTCGACCTTTTTTTGAATCAATATTTCGCGTGATCATGCGGATTTTTCTTCTTAGCGTTGTAGATTCGAACACATATGATAAAATTCGAACTATAAGGGCCCTAGTCACATGTAATAATGCAAGAAATATCGAAATATCATACCAGTATATTCCGACCAAATGACCTCTGAAGCCCAAATCCACGCATATTACGCTTGGGCTGTCTGTGATAACCTTATTTATTTTTTAAATGAAGATATGATCCTTGCAGTTGTAATTGCAATTATTATAAGCAATTGCAAACTAAACCCGAAAAAATTTCGGGACTTCAACGGAATTCGAACCCATGGCCTCTGCTCTGCGTTAGCGCTGTAGTGCCCTACACTTGAGTTATGAAGACCCATACATTGGTTACTACTGCAATTGCTATGCAAGACAGTTCAAAGGTCTAAAAAATAAGAGGAAAGCCTCCAGTGGTTCCCAGCTGTCGGTATCAACATGATCAAATTTTGGAAACCTGCTAGCTGCTGGATACCCTCAGTTTAATAGCGCTTTATACTAATGACGTCACAAATTTCTGGTCCCTGCTGTGACTCAGACATTTCACCTGACCAGTGTAAGAGTTTAGTATGGGAAAGTCACGTTCGGCAACAAATTTTCGTCGTCTTTGAAGATGTTTATCCTTAAAGGAAACAAAATGCAGCTTGGTTTCGATGATAAATATCCCGAAAATAATCAACGCCTGCCAAGACAGCGTTAAACGTGGAAAAAACTGTACAGATGAGTGGTTGTATTTCTTATGCGGCATCATAATGCTGTGGGTAAAATTATGTTAAAATGTGTGGAGAGTATGGCTTCATAGCTGTGCCTGAAACGGTGCATTTGGTTAAATTTATGGGCAAAGGTTGCTCAATTTTTTTTTTCGAGTGCTTATGTTACGCTACTTAGTACTACAGGATATAAAGTACTAAAGTATTCGTCCCGGATTCATATGGTCTACCTGGCCGCACAACAACAGAACAAACTTACACAATTTCCGGTTTGTGCTAATATTGGTGTGCTTTTCACCTTAGATATTCTGTCACAGGCTTGCGAGAAGCACACCCAAACTCGATTTTCTCTTTAGCCATTTCGGTTTTGGAGTATTACACAGCCAATAATGTTATGTCATGTTTCAGTGCATAGCGGTGCTTTCTGCCTAAGACAGAGAGCTAGGGATCCGATTTCAGTAGCCTTCTTCGATCGAGTCACTTTATTTTCTGATTTTAACAATTTATTTGAGTTACTGGACCAGGTTTTGCTCCCAATAGCAGTAGTGCCTTTTATATATTGGAATTATGCCCAAAAAACATTTTAAAAACGCTCACTGCGAATTTTATGAACAATTTTCATGTTGGAAACGTATGTTTCCCATACAAAGCCTTGCAGTAGAATGCGAAGTTTGTCTGAGTCACGCGGGGGGTCTAAGGTGACAAAACCTATTTTTAGTAATAGTAGAAAGCGCTTTTCAGTCGTCCGCTTATGTTGCCGGCAACCAAAAACCGCGCTCTTTCGAGTATTAAAACTAAGGTTTTGTTCGGTTTTCAATTTTGATTACTCGTTGTTTTTTTCTTTAATTTCCGGCTCTATAAAAAACAAAAATCTGTGCGATAAACGGTCCTGTCTCGAAAAAATCATTATCGCCGTTATCATGTAAGCCAGGTTACTATTTAAACTCAAAACGTTCTCTAAGTTGGGATTCACTAATTTCGTCATGCTAGGAGTTTTGAAAGAATCTTCCGGGTTCTGGATCGTTTAAAATGTTCTGAAAGCATTTATGAAGCAAATGAATCTTAGTCTACTTTGTGTTTCACAGGAGGAAGTCTTGCAGCTCTAAAACTGGTGTGAAATTGAAAACTCTGAAGCAGGCTTACCGTCCATGAATGCGAAGATGAACTTAAGTGAAAACAACAGCAGGAAGAAAGCTTCAGTTTGAAGGGGAAGCATGGTTCATTTTTCCCTTATCTTTCTTTCTTCCCGACGGTACAAGTCGTGCACAAAATGAGAAATTTGAAAGTCGATGTCTCGTCAATTACCAGTTTTCATTAGTCTGGTCATTCTGTGAACCAGTGAAATTAAAAAAAGCAGGTGTTAAGAGTTGCAAGGTTATTATTGTTATTAACAGACCGCGTTTCCATGTATGGTTATTTTAAATAGTGTAAGTCAGCACGTATATCGAGCGGAGGTGTGTAAATGATGAAAAATAAAAAAAAATTATCCTATTCATGCACATAAGTTTCATCAGAAATATACCCATCATACTTCTATCTGACGATTATTTAGACTTATGGTGGGTTAATTTTTAGTTTTACAATATTGGGGACCTGACTTTTGGGGGGCCGACGTCAGCACACAAATACTCATCAATACCAGTGCCAAATAATTAATTTAATAAAGTGCAGAAGGAAACATATCATATGTCCGCAGAGGTTTTTCCTCGTTTGAACACAGGCGTCCCAAGCTCACGTTACGAGTGTGTTATGTGAATTGTTTCTATTTTATAGAAAAAAGGTGAAAATAAAATGATATGTAGCGTTCGCAGACCTCAGTATTTAATTTTTCATACAAGGTCTCAACGGTCGCCCGTAACACCGGCTCTGTGAGATAATTTACATAACACACTCGTAACGTGAGCTTGTTTTTGTTGAGACACTTGTGGTTTGAACGAAACCGTAATATTTTGGAGATTCTTCTCCAATATTTTCAAAAATTTCTGCCGATGGATAATCGGCAATTTTTAAAGCCAAAATTCATCGCCTGTTACGTAACTTAAAGTAGAATGACTTATACCTGATTAAAGAGCGCCACCTGCTGTTTCAAATTCTGTTTTCAAAACCGATGGGCATCATAAAACAAACTCCTTTTGAAGCCACGAAAATCTAACTAGTTATTTTCTGAAATTTGAGTTATCATGGCTCCGCCTCAAGGAACTAAAACTCGGAAAAAGACAGCACAAAATCAATTTGAGCAACAGTGGTTTTATTTAGAAAACCTTCTTTTAGAACGGCGTCAGATGTTTACAGAACTATCTGGAATAATTTGCAATAATTTTACAACAAGAAAAGTGGATTTCGTTTGTCACATGCTGTTAAGTGAAGGAGTCACGTGGTCCCTGACTCGTCCCCTTTAGTCGTCTCTTTGTGTCTCCTTCATTGACGAGGAGGGCGCGTGGAAGGACGTCATTTAGGCGCATTTAAGTGTGTGATAATTGAGAATTATTTCGCGAGTGCGCGTTGGATATGAGATGGTTGGGCTATAGTCATCTCATATCCAACAAGCGCAGGTGAAATAATTGTTTTATTAAAAACGCTCACAAAATATCGAGAATTCTTTCCGACTTTATTTGTAAAAACAACCGATTTTCAGCTTGTTTTTAATTTCGAGCAGACGCGTACATATCATATTTGGAGAGCATGGTATAATGGCTCATATACCATGACGGCTAAGCCAATCAGAGCCTTAGAATTGCATTATCCAATGATTCAGTTTTTAATAAAAATTAATATTCCCTGTTTTGCCTTTCTTTGTATAAAAAGCACTGAAACTATATTTACTGCACTTTCAGTCTACAATAAACGAAGCCTGTGTTATTATTGGTCCAAATCCACTTTGCCGTCCTTGCGATGCCAGATATTGTCTTCCAAGGTTTGTCGCCATGGTTTCCTACAACGTTTGCAGAAGGCCAGTCCTTGTCATCAAAATCCGGCGAAGTCCATCCCTGTTGAAAGACACCATTGCATTTCCAAGTTTCATTAGTCAATAGTCCATTGCTTGTTGAGCCGAGTATTCCAAACTGGAACCCTGTGTCTGTTCCCTCTACTGAAATAACTCGGGTATCACTTGGTATCTGGTAGATAGAAGGGACTCTCCAATTATGATCGTTTTTGTGTTCCAGTCTTCTATCATCAGCAAATATTTTCATCGAATCGTCACACGTGAATGTTGCAGTGAATTCTAGTTAAGGGAAATATAGATGTTAGGCTGCGTGCAAACGGGCGGAACAACTCCCAACATTGTTGCGCCAACAATGTTGGGAGTTGTTGCGTGGGTGTTGGCAGTGGTGTGCAAACGAATGCAACAACTCCCAACAAGTTTGGGACCTGCAGTGCATCATGGGAAGAATACAACCCATAAGTCTTTGTAAACCATGCGTAATGAGCGTGCGTGGCCCCAACAATGTTGGAAGAGCTGTGCAAACGGATCCAACATGGTTGCGCTACGCTTCGGCGATCATGGAACAAAAGAAATGTCGGGAGTTGTTGGCTGAAAAGTTTGACCGGTTTCAAACTTTGCGCAACAACATCCAACAACATGCAACAGGGTGTGCAAACGGACCCAACATGTAACATCCAAAAATGTTGTGGGAGTTGTTGGCCAACAATGTTGCGTCCGTTTGCACAGGGCTTAAGCACTATACAAAGAAAGTCCAGTCCTGAAACGTTCTGGGTCTAAATAGACACAACCGCTAAGCCCGACACCAGCATTAACTTAAATCCATCACAAAACCATTTTAAGC